GGCGATGGTGAACAACAACGACTTGGTAGACCCTCCATGGGTCTTCTTTAGAAGAAGAAATAGAATGGGGATTTGTTACAAATAAGGAACGGCTATTTCAAATCACCAACACACCGCCGATGGAAGAATTCTACCAATTGCAACAGAAAAACTTTGTAGCATATGTTATCAGGCGTGGGAACAACAATCCCTTTAAGCAACTCATGTTTCACGCAATCAAAAATACAAAGCTTGGGAAAAAAAGTAAAATCAATCTTGAAAAAGTAGTTAATAAAAGCCTTGTCTCCAGATGTTAACTGATTAAATACTGTTTCAAGAACGAAATGTAAGTTGGTTATTACAAAAATCATGATAAAATGTAAAGTATGATATATATATATATATATATATATATATATATACATACATAAATATAATATAAGGTAACAGTAGAGAAACTCAAATACGTACGATGTTGAGTTTAGAAATACTAAAATTTATTTGGCGAATATTTCGGCTACTCGACCTGTACAGGGAAACCAGGGGTGTTATTGTCGATGGAATGTTTATGGTTATTAAATCGTAGGCGGAATTTATTACCCGTTTAACCAATGTAATGTTAAATATTGGTTAGTAGGTGGTGTACCTTTCAATAAGTAGTATAACACAGTTCCTTTTAGTACACTGCAAACCTTTATTCACACAAACTGTACGTGGTTACAATCAGCTAAACTCCAGGTTTCAGATGTTAGAGAACCCTTTTTAGGGTGGAGTCAGCTCAGCTCTGTACTTTTCTTCTGTGTACTCCTAACTACTAAATTGAATCTAACTACTGACTCAATGATATGGGGTGTTTACCTATATACGTTAGGTAATGTGGGTGTGTCTCAAGTAAGTCAACCCCTAATTTTAGAGTTTCTGATTGGATCATAGAGAAATTCTTTCTCTATGATTTAGTAACTTGTTTACCAAAAACTGCTAATTAAGATGTATCACAAACTTCAGAGCTTACTAGGCTAAAAACTGACAATCATAGATTGATAGTGTGAGAAAGGCCAACTGACTAAGGTAAAGTTATGCAATGTCCAGTTATATTATTAGGTTATCTGTATACTCTAGTTGACCATTAAAACTGTCACACCAATTTAAGGCATTTATCAGGTGAAGGGTATCGATTCCAATGGTTATGCAAGTTAATACCATTGAACCTTAATACTACATTACAGTAATGGCCTTTGTTGCAAAGTGTGCATAATATAAGGTAAATTACATTAGTAGAATCACAATTTAGAGGTGGGGCTGGGGCAGTTTATAGTCAGATGTGTTGATAAGTATTATTGAGCTGTAAACTATAGATTGTTTAAGTTTGTTAGGATGTGAGCTATGGAAGTTAAGATATGTGTGATTATCGGTGGTTTAGAATAGAGAGATGTGGAGATACTGTTGCCTGAAATGGAAGCAATAACATCAATAAAGGGGATAGAAATGTTAGAGTGTTACATAGTAAATTTGACAGTGGGGTAAAAGTTGTTACAGTGAGTGACTAATTTTGTAAGGTTGTCAAAATCGTGAGGCCAAATGGAAAAAAAAATATCGTCAATGTATCTGTAAAAATGCAAAGGTTTGAGATCAAATTTGAAATTAGTTTGTGTTCAAGTTCGGCCATAAATGTGTTCGCGTAACTAGGAGCCATTTTAGTGCCCGTGGCTGTACCTTGTGTTTGTAAAAAGTGCTGATTTTTAAACATGAAATTGTTATGTTTTAAGATGAAGTCAGTAATAGTGGTTATGTCATTAGTGGCTTCAACAGAAAATGAGTTGTTCAAGAGAAAGTGTCTGCAGGCATCGACACCATCTGCATGTGGGATGTTAGTGTATATAGAGGACACGTCCATGGTGACGATGAATGCATTGTTAGGTAGTGCAGTGATGTTATTCAGAATATTAAGAAAGTGCGTGGTGTCCTAGATGAATCTAGTTATGTTATGTAAAAGAGGGTTAAGATAAGAATCAACCAAGCCTGATAAGGATTCAGTAAGGGTACCAATAGATGAAACGATGGGTCTACCAGGTGGAGTGATGTTCAATGACTTAGCTAATTGAATATTTCAGTGGGAGAGGATGGAACTGTGAGATTACGAGATGTAATTATATTGGGGAGTTTGTGTAATTTAGGTATGATGTAAAATGTGCCGGGCTTGTGATCAACAGGAATAGAACCGCTTACCTTAGTAGCAAAATCGCTAGATAGAGTAGAAACAAGAATAAAATCAAGAATGATATTAAAATCATAATGATATATATA